GATGTGGTGAAATTCGTAGTCTTCGTCCTACATCTCGAAAAATTAATATTTTTTCATGAAACTTGTTTTGATGTATTCCTTACATCGTTAGAATTAGTCGTACAGAGCCGGATTTTGCAATTTGGCTCTTAAAAATTTATAATAAAAATATAATATGAATTCGAGAGCAACTACACCTGATCTACAATCAGCTGTATGTTGTTTGTCAATATTAGAATTTTTATTTTGATCATTTTTTCAAAAAAACGCTTTGTACGTCTAAGAAGACGATGCTGCTGAATACGAATATCATCATTAGAATCCGATTTTCTCTTTATTTTGGCTGTAGGACGTAGACTACGAATTCGTAATTCACGCTTCCCGCGAGAGGTCTCCACCGTCACTCCTGTCGACCCTTAACCGACGGTTAAAATTAGCAGGGTGGCCAACAGAAAATAGAGGTGAAGGAAAAACCAAGCATTCTTATCATTTCAGTTGGAACCCTGCTAATTTTAACCGTCGGTTAATCTAACCGAGGTTGGTGAAATTGGCCCTAAAAACATATATGAATGGAAGGAGAATAGCAGGCTGAAAAGTGTCGAAGAAAGTGAGAAAGAAATTGTAGTTGCCTCTCTCTTGTGAGTAACTACACATACAAGCATCGTGTCTGTATTTCTTATTTAAACTGTTGACTCTTCACACGTTTTCTGTACAGTGAAAATTCTTATGTATGTATTGTTTTTACTACGTATATTTTCAATTTCCATTGCGACAATTTACTGTTATTGCCATTTCCATTCAAATATCAGCGGAGTTGCCAAAAAATGGCGGACCAATCAGAAGTTGCTATCGTATGGCCAGACTCTGTTAAGCCCGTATCAGACTACGCATTGAAAATTGAAGATTGAAGATTAAAGATTGGTATTTGACTAATCAGAACAAAAAGGACTAAAATTTCTTTATTCTAATTGGTCGAATTTCAATCTTGAATCTTGAATCTCAATCTTCAATGCGTAGTCTGATACGGGCATAAGGCCCAGTCTACTATATATAATATATCTATGTTTCTTCGTAAAATTCAGCTGAGTTCAGCTTGGACGTAACAAACATGGCTCCAGGAATAGATGGAATCGGGCCTAAGACGGTCTTAAATATAAGAACTGACTATGAATACCGGCCTATGTTAATGGTTTATACTCAGGCATAATACACAAAAAATGCAAGAATTGTACAAACAAAAGAAGCCATTACAATAGAAGAGTGGAAAAAGTTTATGATTGAGAATTGTATGTAGAGTTTCTTACAATTTACAATAATTATATTTACACGTATATACACGCATTTTTCGTTACAAAAAATTAAGATTCCTTATTAAACTAAAACGAATTATCACAAAAAGGAAAATAGGGCGAAGCAAGCATTGAAATTTAGTTCATTGAAGTAGGTCACTGATTTGTAAATAAAATGTACTTTTATTCTAGATGTTCATAATTTTCTTCTAAAAATATACATGTTAAATAAGATTAAATTTTATACCACATTTTACTAGATATTATTACATTGCATTTATATAAATATAAGTGTGATATAGAAATATAAGTGTATGTATAAGATTCAATTTCTAATCTTTCTTTATATAAAGTGTGTCATAATTTTTTATGTGTGCTTAATCAATTTATTACGATCTAATTATCTAATATTTTATTGCTTTATTATTTTATCAAAGAAGAACATAGAGTAAAGGCCTCATTAGACAATCTATAATTTGTGACAAAACTCAAAAAAAATTTTACTTATAATTTTATGTATTATATATAAGTGTATCCTTGTGATATATATTTTGATTTTACTTTTCGCATTATATATGACAAAGATAATTTATAAATAACATTTTGTGTCTTGAATTTGTCGCAAATTATAGATTGTTTAAAAAGACCTTAACAAATTTCTTAAATTTGAAAGTATAATATTCAATATATTTTTTCATTTATATTTCTGAATGATAATTAATTGCTTATTAATTATCATTTATATATAGAATTATATGGAACAATAAATTAGGTAATTATATATAGCCATAAGTTGGTTTTTTAACCTCAAGATATAATATTGTGTGGTTTATATGTAATTACTATTAAAATAATATTGAAAAATGTTCTTTATTTTTTATTTTAAAAATTCATTCTTTTATTAAAAAACATTTTTTTTTAAATTTAATTTTATCTTTCCAAGTCTTTAGAATTAAAATCAAATTTTTAAACTATTTTTATAATTGAGCACAATAATTGGGAAAATTAATACAGTGCAGTATTTATATTTAAATTTTTTATTGTAGTCAATAAAAAATCATATGCTTTAAGGATTAAATAATAATTGCACTGTACAGTTTTGGATGTATAATTGATATAAAATTCTGAAATTATTAGAAAAGATTAGTGTTTTTTAAGATATAATATTCAGTATTTATAAGAATATATATATTACTAATAAACATCTATATTATTTGCAGGGTTGATGACAAAGATGATGTCTTCTATAAATAAAGATGAAATTTACCATTGCAAAACACAACTTAAACAAAACAGATTGTGTTATACATGGAATATTTCCGATATTTGGGAAATTTATAAATTTGGTATTAAATTATACTCTTTTAAATCCGCAAGTTTTAAATTTGAAATGCATCCTGCAGAAGATAAGTTAAATTTTTATTGTATACCTGCGGTAAAGAAGGATTATAGAATCTACTATTCTGTTTTTTTGAAAACTAATACAGGAGAAATGACTAATGTAGTAAAATCGAAATATGTAGATTTGTTATATAATGGCGTATTAGAGGCTAGCTTATGCTATGAAAATAACCTATTCTATAAGCTACCTATTTCACTTCTTTCCGATAATATGTATGTATTGCCTAACAACACACTTACAATATGCTTTAAATTACATATACTCGTAATGTACGACAAAAATGTATCCTATTCATATAAGAGACCTGATACAGATACAGATACAGATATTTTTGTTCCTAAAGAGAAATCCGATTCGTTTGTTTCGTTTATAATAAACAATGAACGTCTTGAAGCAAATAAGATGACTATAAGATCACTATGTTTAAAAAGTAAAGTTTTTGAAGCTATGTTTAACAGTGGTCTAGAAGAAAGTGTAAATAAAGTAGTAGTAATAACTGATATAAGATATGATGTTCTAAAGGAATTATTATCCTTTGTACAAATTGGTTATCTATCTAAAACGCTGGAAGAGATAGAAGAGATAAATACAATACGTGAACTTTTTGTAGCAGCTGATAAGTATGATATACAAGATCTTAAATTAATATGTGAACAATATTTAATTATAAATACGACAGAAAAAAACGTTGTAGAACATTTAAAGATTGCACATTTAAATAATGGAAAAACGTTGGAGAAATATACCAAAGATTTTATCAAATTATATTCAAAAGATATTGTGGATACCTCAGAATTTATAACTTTAATGGAAATGTATCCTGAGCTACTAACTCAGACTGAAAATATCAAACAGATCATACAAAAAGTTGAAATATTTGCATAATCAGTATAATTTAAAACATCATGTATATGGAATTTCTACATATGGTAGTCATATACATAAAACTGAATTAGAATATAATTTCTACATTTATAGAATATATTTTTATATTCCACATTTAATTTCGACATTTTATATTTGTGTTTTATGTCATAGAATAGCTTTTTAATTTATAGTATAATATAATGCATATCTGATATTAAAGAATAGTTCTTTTTTTAGTTGCTAAGTGTGGATATGTGAAAACCGTTCTTGGTTTTGTGCGTTTTAGAAAAATACAGCCAAAACAATGAAGATAAAAAATTCAGTAAAGAAATGTTTATTTTATGCATTATATATTTATTGCATTATGTTTTATGCATTATGTTTATTATATGCATTATATTATTATATGTTACATATTTATTTCATATTATAACAATCTTTTTGTTATCAATTTACTTTTGTTATCAATTACGTAGGACTTTCATGTATCTCTTAAAAGTTAATAAGTTTTGTTCTAAAAATTATTAATCTAATATTGTACAAAATAGGGATTTTAAATTTATTTTGCTTGTTCAGTTCATTTAATGTATATTATAAAGAAATATATTAAATATACATTCTTAAATTAGCATGTAATTGGTCTGGACTTTTATTGTTCCAAAGTTATGAGCGATTATCTGCTCTGGCGAATTCTTCTGGTCTTAAAGAAAAGGATATCTATGTAAATTCATATGTACATGTGTTGGCAAAGTTACTGCAGTAAAATACATGTCACATTCTACTATTAACAGAGAAACGAGCTTCTAGTTATATCTTGATAATGAATTAATGACAAAAGTCGTATAAAAAAAATCTCTTTTTAATCTATACATATATTACGAAAACTTGGTGTTATAAATATATAATAGAATCTTTTTCAATGATTAGTACATTATAAATTGTATTACTTAGTTTATGGTTTATATATATTATAAATTAATAAAGAAGTATAAAAATGTAAACTTGGTATTTCTATATTAATATTAAGAATTCATGTATTATATTAGTATTAATTATAATATACTAATTTAATATTAATATATTATATAGTATCGAATTAATATATTATAAACAAAGTAACGGAAATAGTAACGATTCGTTAGTTTTTGAGTAACGGGAACGGTAACGAGTTACTTTTTAAAATCGGTAACGAGTTGTCGCCTCGGACTATTCCTCCGACGCCTTCCTGGCCGCGCTGCGCCGTGGGCTATGTCGAGCCCTCTATAGCGATTGCGGCACCAATTTCGTGGGCGCCGACGCCCAACTGCGAGCGCTCTTCGCAGCCAGCGGTCAGGAAGGCCAGCGCATCGCGGAAGGGCTTGCTGCCGAAAGGATTGAATGGCACTTCAACCCTCCGGCAGCACCCAATTTCGGTGGACTCTGAGAGGCTGCCATCAAGGCGGCGAAGCACCACCTCCGGCGCGTCATCGGCGACGCCAAACTGACGTTCGAAGAGATGGCCACCTTGTTAGCCCAAATTGAATCGTGCCTCAACTCGCGCCCGTTACAGGGCTTCTCGGACGATCCCGAGGATCTCGAGGCGCTTACGCCCGGTCACTTCCTTGTCGGCACAGCACTCAACGCCGTCCCGGAGCCGTCCCTCGCCATGGAAGCCCCATGGGATGCACCGGCCTAAATGGTGCCAAGCCGACGGGGAAGGTTGTGCCTCCTAAAGTGCGAGACGACGCCGCCGAATAAGTGGCCCCTCGCCAGGATCGAACGCGTGCACCCTGGGGAGGACGGGGTCGTCCGGGTCGTTATTGTGCGCACCGCCACATCCAGCTTTAAGCGACCCTTAACTAAGCTCGTTCTCCTCCCGGTCAGCGCGGCACCGGAAGACGACTACTAAACAATACACACTTTACGTCACCATACACTTACACTAGACACGACTCACTCCACCTCACAGTTACACTCACACACTAAACAGAACAACCGGACACCGCACAGAAAGAATCGCGAACCATTCGCCATCGATTCACATCTAAACAGGCGAAAACGTGAATGGAATGCGAATTCCATAGCAACACACCACGCCCCGCCGACCGATCGCCTGACTCAACACCACGCTCACGCCACGTGATCTAGCGCCGAAACAGCTGAGTATAGTCAGCACGCGCTGACGCGCTAAACTAGGGCCGCAAGCACGAATAACTTTCGTAGGCTTCAACTACGAGGAGGGCGGAATGTTCGAAACCGAACTCAGTGTAATTGACCAATAATTCTGAATTATTTAATTGATTTGTCTCATTATTCTGTACGTAAAAGTATTACGGTAAGATTATCGAGAACTAAATATTTTACGAGATATTTTATTTTTTATATCAAAATATGTCAGATTAAAATATAAAATAACTCAAAAAGTACTTAATGAAAAAATACTTTATTATAGTGTTTTGGAAAGCTCTCGACATAAACTATAAGAATATGCAATAAAAAATAGGGGTTTCCATTTAAGAAATTAAAAGTGACCTTCATGTGACCTTCAAATGACTATCCAAGGTCACATCAATGGCACCATCTTATGTCCCCCTTCGAACCAAACAACTTTTGTCTGGAACGTTTTTCCGTATCTTCTATATTTTTCGAGATATTTGACTGGCTCTTTTAAAATGGACCACCCTGAATATATATATTATTTCCCAACAATCGTACTATCTATAATATATATATAATATTGTCTTGTAGGAAGGATGAAAATACAATTTCTACAAAAAGTAGAAAAAGAAAACGTAGAAAAAGAAAACGTTTAGCATAGTCAGAAGCATTAACTGGATGATATATTTTGCAATAGAGTTCATTGCTCATGTGGAGAAAAAATCGAACTGCGCGCGCGCACACACGCAAATAATTTAATTCGAATCGAAATAATAGCACAAAGCTAGTTTATAAAGAATATAATTTATTAAATATAAATATATTATATTTCAAAAATAAATCAAGAAATAAAGATGATATTTACATACATTAAACGAAATATATTACATGCTGGAGGGTAAAAAAAAAGATATGTACAAGAAATTGGTTTTTAACGTATTGATTTTTTTATTTTGATGTTTTTCTTCTTTTTAAATCTCTTCAATATAAAATCTGTTTAACGATGCCACACACTCAACTATCTCTCTCAGGCAAATGTTGTTTTTGCTTCCTTCTGTTTATATACACGATTAGGTCTAAGGCCGTAGTTGTTGAACATTCTTTTCCCAATCGGTATTGAGCATGGACTAAAAATTTACCTGGACAGATCTTTCTACAAGGAAAAGCTGCGATTAGCGATATTCACTGAAAAAATGAAATACTTTGGCCCTTCTTAATTCAACAGTATCAATAGATTTAAATAAATATTGTTTAGCGCTTTACAGTCACATAGGTATTTTTAGCACATTGAGAAAAACCATCCCTTTTTTCTTGGTCCCTGCTCTTATTCTAATGGTATATGAGACATCAATAGATTTTTGTTTAGCGCTTTACAGTCACATAGGTATTTTTAGCACATTGAGAAAAACCATCCCTTTTTTCTTGGTCCCTGCTCTTACTGCTCTTATATATGAGACAGAATGATAT